GGGGGGAGTGTGAGGAGGGGGCGGAGCCCGGCTGGCTGGATGCAGGGCTGGGCTCTGAGAGGGGAGCCGCCGTTCGGAGTCTGCGTTTGCCATTTCGGGCTGGGCGGAATGGAGGAGGGCAGAGTTACCCACTCCACTTTCAGCTCCTTGGCATAAGGATGGAATAAAAACGTTTACTAGGTAAAGGCTCATCTTGGACAATGTACAGGAAAAACTGTTTAGCTCAGACTTGAGGCTTTACTGAAGTAGCGTACTTTCAGAGGTCATCATGCCCAAACGGAGCAGCACTCAGGTGTCTGGTAGAATGGCTCAGACTGGCAGTTAAATCAGGATATTCAGCTGGGCTTTAGGAGCTCACCGGTGACTTCCGTTCAGCTTCTTCCTTGGCTTTGAAACCACTTTGAGCCATACTGGCGCTTTGGTGGGAAGGTAACAGCCTTCTGTGCTTCTCAGCGTCTAGTCACGCTGGCCACATGACCATGGAAACGTCTTTGGACAGTACTGGCTCTTTGGCTTGGGAACCAAGATGAGCACCATCCCCTAGAGTTGGATTCAACTGGCTTTCGAGCAAGGGAAACCTTTACTTTTACCGTTAGCATACATGAAGCACTGTGAACACTCACCATGTTTGTTCTTCAGAAAATGAAATAGCTTGCAGTTAGCTTGCATGTCAGTTTTTAAATGTATCTGGAATTAGTGGTTTTGATAGTCAAGAATCTGGTCTTTGAATTTAAAGTTAATATTGTATCAAATGGCAAGAAGCACTACTAAGTGTTCTACAGATTGCGTTCATGAGCGGACAACAGGTAAATTGTGTATATTTGCATGGTGGTATCTCATTGGAAACCTGTTTCTTTTGAACAGATGGTGAGCCGGAAAGAAGGAGAAATTGACGATGCTTTGATTGGTGGGAATGCATCTGCTGAGGGCCCAGAAGGAGATGGGGCAGAGGCTACAGTTGTCACCGGCGTCGATATCGTAATGAATCACCATCTTCAGGAAACAAGTTTCACTAAAGAGTCTTATAAGAAGTACATCAAAGACTACATGAAAGCGTGAGTGATCCAAGCCTGTATCATGTCAAGGATAAACTGCTGCAAATTCCACTCTTAATGGGGAAAGGCCTAAGAAGCCTGTGGCATTAGTTTGGGGTTATTTGTATTGGTGCTCTGTTCTCTTCCAGACACAACTAAGGGTGGTGATTACAGTTTCAAAAGCAGGTATGATCCACTGTGTTTCAGATCGCCACTCTCGGTGGTCCCATTACAATCCTCATCTGTTCCCTTGTTGGCTCGCCTTGATCCCCTAGGACTCTCTGGTTGGCTCTGTTCTTTGTAGAGTTTTTCATTGTCTACCATGAGTGATCAAGGTAGTGTAGGCTCTGAATTTAATTCAGCCTACTGAAATTTTAACGTTAAATCTATGAAATTCAAGCTTTGCTTATGACTAAGCTTTTGCTGGGGCAAAAAGTGAAAACACGAACTGCCAGGCTGCCATAGAATGGCAAAAGTCACATCACGTTGGCAGCATAATCATATCATGATGGCAGGTTCTGTCACTGGTATTTAATGACATCCTCATATTTGCAGTTTGAGCCATGAGCAGATTTTGCAGGCTGGCCCATGTGTGTTGAAATAGCAGTTTGCTTGCTCAGCGTGCCATATTGTTTTAAGACCATAGATTTCAGTGGACAGAAGGGTGTAATTGTACAGGATTGCTCAGCCAAAGATTGTGTTAATAGCCAATTACCTTTCTTGATTTTGTTGGGAAAGGCAAACTGATTCACTTCAGGCCATTTAGATTCTTGTGTGTAACTATAGTCCCAAAAGAATAGTGGCTACTACAAATACCTGAAAGGTATTTCCAGTGGGTGCTGGCCCTGTACCTTTGGTAGTTTGAATACTGAATGAGCACTTCTGTCCGCTTCCAAGAGCTGCAGTGAAACTAGATGAAGCAACAGTAAAAGCCAGTTTGGTGTAGTGGTTAAGTGTGCTGACTCTAATCTGGGAGAACTGGGTTTGATTCCGCACTCTTCCACTTGCAGCTGGATGACCTTGGGCAAGCCATAGTTCTGACAAGAGCTGTTCTCTCAAGGACAGTTCTTAAAATAGCTCTCTCAGCCCTGCCTACCTCGCAGGGTGTCTGTTGTGGGGAGGAGAAGGGAAAGGAGTTTGTAAGCCATTCTGAGACTTTGAGTGAAGGGTGGGGTATAAATCCAATCTCTATCCAACTTCAGGATTATAACGTGTCATGCCTTGCCTTTCTCCCCAGTGGGGATTCAGAGCAGCTTACATAATTCTGTCCTCACAGCAACCCTGTGGGGTAGGTTAGGCTGCATGTGTGTGATGGGGCCCAAAGTCACTCAGCAAGTTTTCATGGCAAAGGTGGGATTAGCAGAGGCGGGAATTCAAACCTCCGTTCCTAGTCACTCTGACCACAGCACCATGTAGGCTCTGGTAGATCAGGGAAGCTGTTAAGCCTCCTTTGTTTTTAAATAGGGATGGTGGAAAATGTTCCTTCTACTCTGCTGCCTGCCCTTCCTGGCTTCTTGTGAGTAAACCTTTGCTTCTGCTGCCAATAGTGGAGGGATGTTCTGGAGCTAATCTGGGCCAGGATAATCCAATTTGTTCAATTTTTGGCCCTGCAACTCCTGTGATCATCCTTAGGCAGGCATCCGATTTTGAGGCTCTGAGCTTAATTTTCTGAAGAGCTTTTGCATACTTTTATTTTCTTCATTTTTACCCATTCTCTCTAATGGAGGTCCAAAGTGTGATGCACATCATTTCCCTCTCTTCCATTTTATACTTTCAACAACAATTTTGTGATAGGGACAGGAGTGATGATATGGATGCAAAATTTCCAGAAATTTTGTAGTCATGGAGAAAAGGTTATTTTGGAAGGGCGGGAAGGAGTTGAAATGCATGCAGAAGAAGAAGAAGAGATTGGAATTATACCCCACCCTTCACTTGGAGTCTCTGAGCGGCTTACAAACTCCTTTCCCTTCCCCTCCCCACAACAGACACCCTGTGAGGTGGGTGGGGCTGAGAGAACTCTGGCACAAATTGCTCATTTTCAAGGACAGCTGTGCCAGAGCTTGTGACTGACCCAAGGTCACATCAGCAGGTGCAGGTGGAGGAGTGGGGATTCAAACCCCGTTCTCCCAGATTAGGGTCCGTGCACTTAACCACGACACCAAACTGGCTCTTTTGCTTTTACTAAATCAAACTTTTTATTCAGGATGAAATTTATAAACTAACATGTAAAATTGTACTATTTGGCATATTTACAGTATTAACATCTTCATAAGAAAAATATACCGAATATAGATAGTATGTTAATTGTTGCCAAAATCACTACATTTAAACAAAAAATCAAAAAATGTTGTATATGATTAGAGTACATTTTTTCTGCTGTTTCCTAAAACGTCCTGATGTTTTCCATTGGAAAAATTGACAGAGTCCTCAGACTTTTTCATGCTGTACATTTTCCTCATTCTGAAAGAAGATAGTTCATAGGAGTTTTTTCAGTGTTTCCCCAAAGTTTCCAATTAAAAGAAGGCCATGGAAAAAACCAGGAGAAAAGCATCTCAGGCTGAGGGCGAGTGGCCCAAAGTCACCCAGCAAGCTCCCATGGTAGAGTGAGGTTTTGAATCTGGGTCTCAGATTCCAGTTGGACACTGAGCACTACACCACACTGCCACTGAGCTGTGGCCATTCTCTCTGATAGTCCAGTGTTGGTGCCGTCATCGCTGATAGGGTTTCTGGTCATAGGACATTTCTCTACTACCTTGATTGGTTTCATTGAAAGTTACAGACCTTTGAGAATTGCTATCATCTTTCTAGAATCAAAGCCAGACTTGAGGAAACGAAGCCAGAGAGAGTAAAGCCGTTCATGACAGGGGCTGCAGAACAAGTTAAACATATCCTTGCAAACTTCAAAAATTACCAGGTAAGTTTTGGCGCTTTCTTTTCTCTGTCAGTTATATCTGTGGAATAAATCATGGTGTTTTTCTCTCTCAGGCAGCTTGGAGCATATCGTTTTTTGCTGTTGATTAAAACTTGATGTTTTCCAGGAAATTTGATGCTTGTGAAGGAAGTCTACTGTGGATGGGATACTTAGTCTGACTTTTCTCTTTCCCAAAGTTTTTTGTAGGCGAGAACATGAATCCTGAAGGCATGGTGGGATTGCTGGATTTTCGTGAGGATGGTGTAACCCCATATATGATTTTCTTTAAGGATGGGTTAGAAATGGAAAAATGTGTAAGTACTGATGAAAGGGCTAAGATTGCTGGGATAGGCTTTTGGTTGCTTAAGGGAAGAGTGGGGAGTCGTGTCGGAGCCCCGAGGGCTGCCGTGCCCCGCATCCTGTTTGCAACCCTGGCAAGCTAGCTCTCTGCGCCCCCCAGCCGCTGGGGGTGGTGGCTTGTGGGTTGTGAATGTTCTGTTCCTCCCAGGAAGCACCTCAGCACTGCACATCCCCCACACCTTGTGTCAGCAGGTTCCGCAAGCTCATTGTGATGTGAAGAACTAGCTTTGTCTATTCATAGCCTGAGTACAGTCTGTCTTGTGTTTTTCCCAAGGCCATTGGGGGGGGGGGGGGGGGCCTCCCCAAAATCCCAAAAGCCCCAAATCCTTTAGCTTTCCTTTGTAGAGGAGGTGCCCCAGCTCCTTATTCACTTTTGCTGTCCTTTCTGATTTCCTTTTTGGGACGAAGAGACCAGAAACAAATCCCTATTAGCAAGTTTGCAGTTCCTGCTGAGTTTTCCGGGAGAACTGTCCACACATTCCTTTCTGCGTCCTGTTCTTTAGCCAGTTACTGGTCTGTATGAGGCCATGGTGCCGGATTTACTCCTCAGCCTCCGGTGTGGGGCTTGCTAGAAGTCTCTGCGCCTGGCTGGCTGAGTTGCTCCCCTCACGGTGCTTAGTGGCGCACTCAGAGAATGCCAAAAGGCTTGAAGCAGGACTCCTCCCAGCAGGCCATGCCAATACTTCCTCTGTGAGGACAGATTGAAGCATGGTTTCCATAAACAAAGCCATGGTATTCTTTTAATGAGTATGCCATTTCCACTTGGTTGGTCTGTATAGGGGCTTCTCTTCCATTCGTCCAGTAAGCAGCCTGAATTTGCAGTGTACAATCTACATACAGTGCATCATTCTGCAGAAGCGTGCCTGCACGCGAAAGCTCATACCTTGAATTAAACGTTGTTGGTCTTAAAAGGTACCCCTGGACTCAAACTTTATTCTGCTTGAGTCCAAAACGGCGACCCCACCTGAATCAGTGCATCAGGTCTGCCCTGTATTCAGATTGTACATTGCTTTGCTGTAAGTTGAGAACAGGGTTTATGTGGGGAGGGTAAAGATGATGAGCAGGGACAGTGCCCTGCGGGCACTTGTGCAGAGTGACCCTTAAGAACATGGCAGTTTTTGTTTGCACTGTTTGTTTGCACAGTTTTGTGGGGTGATGTGTGAGTTAAATAAGTATTTTTGAGGCTATTAAATGAACGGCTTTCCCGAGTCACTAAAAGCAAGGTCGTAAATCCACATTCCCTTTTGGACAACCTCAGGGGAAAGCCCCACAGTTTGTAACCTTGGAAGGTTAAGCATCTGCTGATAGGCCGGGACCAACTCCTTTTGCTCTCTGGCTTGCATCAAGATGCAAGAGCAACCTCCTTGTGCTTCCTGCCTGCCCCCATAAAGTGGCAGTTCAGATTGAATTGGGGAGGACAGTTGAAGAAGTCAGCTTAAAGCGTGTCTGTCTAAAGAGTCGGCTGTGAGCGTTGGCTAACCATGGTTCATTTCTTGGCAGTAACAAGAGGTCTTCCCTCCTGGATCGTCTGTCGTCATCCTCATCGTCATCATTGGCTGCTGCTCTTTCCTCATCCACAAACCATCATGACTCAGCAATGTCTGGCAACTGGACTGCTGTCACCTTGAGCTTAATTTGGTTTATTTTGACCCTGAATTGATTGGAGTGGAGGCATTGTTTTTAAAAACATGTCATGTAGGCTGTCTAAAATAAAAAAACTCATTGAAACCCAGCGTAGGTGATGCCTCTTGGTTTCGTGTGCGGAGCTTCCTGTAGCTCTCGTGCACTTGAAAGGTTGACCTCTTGGTAGCATAGCCTGGCTCTCTTGCCTGCCTGCCTCAGACCGTCTCCGGGAATGGGAAAACCAGCCGGCCCTCCTGGTGTCCCTCCTGCGTGTGCCTCGCGACAGAAGGCGTTCACTCCCAAGCGGACCTCGTTCCTCTGACTGCTCAACCAACTGCAGTAACTTTCTGGAGGACAAGATTCGGAAGCCCTAACGTGTGGAGTTCCTTTGAATTCTTAACTAGTCAAGGAGAGATGGATGTTTCTTCGGTGTATTATTGCAAAGTTTGACTGAGGCAGAGGAGCTGGAAAGAGAATCCTTGTCATCAGAAAGAAGCAGTTAGGCGAAAGGATCTGCGTGCTGTAGTAGGAAAGAACTGTCACTTTAAAATGCATAAGTAATAACTAGCTTAACAGGATGCTGTTGCATTGGCGTGTATTGATTTGAATCTGCTGAACTACAGTTTTAAGTGCAAACAACTGCAAGGCGTTCCTGGTGTTTTTTGCAATATGTACATCTTGCTGTCTGGCCAAGGGCTTGATAGGCGATTAACAGAACATGAAAATCCTGCAGTGCCTTCTGTAGGGCTTCCCCAATAGCATCTTTAGCAAGCACAGAATGAGTGGATCCCGTTCTTCCAGGACACGGAGATGAGCCACTTGCTTTCCAAAGTTGGGCCATGTTGTACCTTTGCATGAGATCGTTGAGACAGAAGATGGTGGTTCTTGGCAAAAAGCGCAGAATGCAGAATTTAAGTGAGAATAATCAAGAAGAGTAGAATTGGTAGAACCTCTAGCCAGAGTTACAAATGGCAAGGGGTAGGGGTAGTGAAAAACATTTGAAGCTGCAACGGGTGTGTTTATGAGGTCTCTGCTTTGGGCTTACAGCAAGAATCAGGGAAATATATCCCGCTGTGAGTCTAGAACAGTTGGTCATGGTGGGCCTAGTTTTTGCAGCAAGAAGAGAGACGTTCATGTCTTTATTGCAAGTAGTGAGAGTTAGCATTTAAATAGCCTGGTAGCTGGTACCAAGACTAACAAGAAAATGACTTCTGTGTCTCCTGATGTCCCCCTCAGTCTTGCATTACTTTTGGAGTTGAGAAGTCTGATGTTACTTTTTGATGTAATTTGTTCTGCCAAATTGGCATGTTCTCACCAGCTTGTATTTTGGTTCTTTTGTGAGTCTCTTCACTCTTTTCCTGGGCCCTCTCTGACCTCCTTTCCTTGCTCCAGACACTACACTGGTTGGAGATTTGACAGATGGTTGCCAGGCAGTATTGGGAGGGGTGCACTGCTTAGGCTGGGGAGGAGCGGGGGCCATTGTCACCAGGGGTCGTGTGAACTTGTGCCTCCATGCACCGAACACCATGGGGTGTTGATGGGTTTTCCTACTTAAAGATTTGAAAATCAGTAGCTGAGCAGCTTTTTGTGGGCTCAGCCAGTGGGTAAACGGAGGCTGCTTCTTGCCAGACACCTCAGAGCTGTTGGCTTGGGGGCAGGCGCTAAGCTGTGGGAGTGGTCCACTTTTTCTTAGTAGTAAAACCTTGAACAGTCTTAAGGTCGGTCTAGATGTTTGTATACAGCCTCTCATAGTTCATCTCTGTACTGTCCTGTGACTTGTACCTACAGGCTCGTGTTTAATGCATCACTTTGCCTAAAATTGGTTCAGGTGAGTTGCCATGTTGGTCTGAAGCAATAGAGCCAAGTTTTGAGTCCAGTCAGGCACCTTCACACAGAAGCTTCTACCCAGAATTAAACTATTGGGCTTGAAGGTGCCTGACTGGGCTCAAACTTGTTTCTTTGTGTAAAATTGGCAGCCTGTGGGTTTATGCTGAGTGCAATGGGGGGAGGGCAGAAGAGGGCACAGGAACCCTTTTTGCCAGAGTTCTTATTCATCTTCCAGCTTGTGGCTTTAAGGGCTAGAAACTCCACAGGCATTGCCGGGTCTTCCTTCCAGCCGAAGGGCTCTGAGTTGGAGGGATGCCTTCAGGTTTGATTGGCGGGATGGTCTCGTTTAGAAACAAAAAATTCTGGAAATTTTGGAGGCCCGAGGAAAAGATGGTTTTTTTGTATTTTTCCTGGAAAATGAGATAAAGTGAAATACATGCAGTATTTTCATATCAAAACTAATTCCATTATGCTGCTATAACAACGTAAAACACATTATGTGTCACCTAGCACATAAAATTGTATTAATAGGCATGTTTATAGTATTTAAAAGTATAAATGCCTTAGTTTTCTACAAGCAGCATTCAAAATATATCCAGTATTAAAGTGAGAGTGTCTATGCTGTTGTAGCACATTTTACTCTCACACTTCTAGGTAGAAATCAACCCCAAATGCTGAAGATCTTCAGTCTGAACATTTCATGAAATGCGTGTGCTATGAGTTGTTTTAAAATAATGTTTATTTGTAAAGCATAGCCCTAATCGTGGGTCTTCTAAGGACTAGTTGCGCCCAAAAGCGTGCATGTGGCTATGATTAAATGAATTTTGACTGTAGACAGCCTCTGGTACATAATATGGATTTAACCAGAGTTGGTGCCCCTGGGATGGAAGGTGGGTTCCATGGGTGGTCTTCTGCTTTAGAGGGGAGGAATTCAGCCTGAGGGTGGTCCTTTCCCTTTTCCTCCAGATACGGGCCGAGTGTGACTTGTTGCCTGCTCTGAGATGGGGCTCCTCTCCCCATCAATAACATGCTGGGGACATGAGTGTGCCCGTGTCCTCCTGCATGGTGCTGGGCAAAAAGATGCAGCCCTGAATGCCTTTCAGTCTTAGGGCCAAGTGAGACATGATGGTGTCCATGGGTCACACGTGGATGACATGTGGACCATTTTATATTCATCTAAAGATATGGGGGGGGGGGGACCTAGTCTTGACTGGGCCTCCTGCATTTCGATCCTCAAGAGGCTGGAGTGCTCTTACTTCCCCCCCACACACACACACACCTTTTCATGTGTTGAAGCACACTTTGGCCCTTGGAAAGTAGGGATGTGCATTTGGTTTGTCCGAACCTAATGCACCCCCGAAAATGGCCCATTCGGACCCCTTTCGGGCTGCTGCAGGCCAATTCAGATTCTCTGATCTGAATCGGCTTGCCGCTGCGGCAATTTGGCCCTATTATATCCTATGGGCCATTGAAGTCAATGGCAAAAACATAGGGTATATTCTGGGGACTGGAAGGGAGGGGGTTACTCGCAGGGTAGCTGCTGGAGCCTCTCCCCAAGATACCAACCATGTTTGAAGAACATTGGACTAGGGGGTCCAATTCTACAGGCCCCCAAACAGGTTGCCCCTATCCCTTCCATTGTTCTCAAGTAACTTTTTTCCCACCATACAGAACAATGGAGGGGATGGGGCAACCTGTTTGGGGGCCTGTAGAATTGGACATTGGGCTGAAATTGACATTGGGCTGGCGGAAGGACTCCCAAATCTGCTTCTACTGATGAAACTGACATGCGGGAACCTTACTGCCAGCCGAAGTACTTACTGTCATCCCAATCCGGCCCAATCTAAAACCAAAAAGCAGTGCTTGGTTTCTCCTGAAAAGCTCATCAGAGAAGTCTGCACTGGGCTGAGCCAGTTGGCCTGTGGAGTTGTCTCTCAAGTGAGAGGTTAAGAGAATCTGTTGATGGTCTTTCTTAGCATCTGTCCCCATGATTGAGAGAGGAGTTTAGTAACCAGTATTTGTAGATCTAGTTATACATCAAGTAGAGTTACAGTTCTGAAGTCAAACAAAATGATAAGTCCAGTTGGTTAATATGTGTGTGTGTGTGTATACACATATACATATGATACATACCTACACACACAGATTCTGGGGGCCTGGTGTACAGACATGGTGCCTGCCACTAAGTGTTTCAGGAAGCAGGTGGAGTTCTTGCCCAGAAATGCTTCTGTGTTTGGCTGTTGGGGATTGGCTGGGAATAATATTTTTGTGGCAGCTGCCACCACAGGGTTGACTATTCTCCGTTCCCAGGGTACTATAAAAACCTCTTTTTTTCCTCTGCACTTCAGCTCCCTGTGTGTGTGGCTGGGCTCCTGTGGCAGCCATTATGTGAGGGTGCCCCCCACCACCCTGTGTCAGAATTCCAGAGGTGCCCACAGGCTTAGAAAGGTTGGGGACCCAGGTACTATAACAACCACAAAACAATAAAAAGCTACAAGCACACTGCAGTAGTTTTTCAGACATCTTAATGGCCTTTGGGTAGAGACACAAAGAGTACTGCAACCTTCCCATCTTATGCTTCTTCCACCTGTCTGGCTTCTACCTATTAAACCATCATGGGGGGGAAGTAAGAGCCAGATGTACACGCATTCTAATGGATCCTCGGGGTATTTTTAACAGAACTTCCCAAAATCACAAGTGAGGACCACAGACTGAACCTTAAAAAACACGGAATCTGAGGCAGAGGTCCTCATGAGTTCATACAATTTTTAAACTGAAAATACAACCACTGTCATTGTGATCATATCTTAGTCCATAACCATGAACCCACTGTTCTCAGGACTTTTGTGTTGGGTCATCCCAAACGCACCATCAAGTCATGTGTTCCACCAGAGAAATCAGACCCCCTGCTTTATGGTGCTGTCACAGTGCCAAAAACATGATTTCAAAGCATGGTTCCTCACTAATTTCCAGGATTTTTTATCGGGTCACCCCAAACTCACAGTCCAATCATATAGCATATCCAAAGCTACAGTTTGCAACACAAAGACAGCACAAGAATGTTCTGAAGCAGATATCCTCAGGATTTGTACTTTTGGTCACCAAATGCATTTTCCAATCATACATGGCCACAGCTTGCATCCCCAAAGTTACGGATCCAATTCTTTGTAGCACTGCTGCAGCACAAAAGATGTTCCTAGGCATGGATTCTTAGGGTTTTTGGGCAGGGCTACCCCAGAGTCCATCAAATCACAGATCCTCATTTTGTGGCACAGCCACAGCACAAAAACATCAATCCTAATATTTTCCCAGGTTCTTTTAAGTTGGGCCATGCTAAACTTGCCATCAAATCCATTGCTTTATGGTGCTGCCACAGCCCAAAAACATGGATCCAAAGTATGCATCCTCCTGATTGTTATGTCCCAGCCTGTCACCAACAAATCACAGATAACATCCATGGTAGCCTATTGCACCACAAAAAGCAGGGGTCCCCCTTTTTCATAGCAATCATGGTTCAAAAACATCAAGAGCACCAGAGCCTCAGGCATTCTACATGGGCTTCACAAAAACTCAGGAAATCACACATCACATCCATGCCCACAGAATGGATCACAAAAGAACACCGATCCTAGGCTTCATGGCACTGCCCTGAAGCAGGCCCTGCATTAAGCACTTGGGGTCCTTGTGGTTGCTCAGTAGACTTCTCACTTCAAACTGTTTTGGAATATTCTGCACAGGTAAGGTAAGTCAGGGGCCAACCGTTTTCCTACAAGTTTCTGTGTCATGGTGATACCATCATGTTCTGTGTTTGGTGTAGTGATTAAGAATGGCAGGCTCTAATCTGGAGAACCGGTTTTGATCCCCCAGTCCCCCACATGCACCCAGCTGGGTGACCTTGGGTCAGTCACAGTTCTCTCAGAACTTGCTCAGCACCACCTACCTCACAGGGTGTATGTTGGGAGAGGAAGGGAAGGTGATTGCAACTCTCCAAAGTTTTTTAAAAATGGGGAAAATACGATTTGTGATTTTCCAGGAACGGTATGTGAAACTGCTAGGCATCCATGTTTCATGCCATGGGCTGGCACTGTGATGGCACTTCTTTGGGGGGTGCACTTCATTAATATTGCTGTCATCTGTGATTTTAGTCCTTACTGGAATGTTCCATAAAGAAACCATGGATGTACAAGAGGATCTGTATCTTGGATCCATGTTTTTGCACCATATATGCATATATTGCACTATACTATGGAACACAGAATCCATGTGTTTGTGAATTTACAGTTGATTTTTGTGAAGTCCATGTAAAAATCACAAGACTCAATGACAACATGTTTTGAAAAACTGCCATGGTGACCCAATAAAGGACCAACTCTGTTTTCTCTAGTCCCTTCTGTGGATATTGATGCATTGTATAGATAAGATGGGCAGCTGTGTTGGGCTGTCTGTAGCTAATTTAAGGTATTAATTTTAATGGCAGTCCATGTAAAAATCATGAGGATACATGAATTTTAATGCAGTTTTCCTGCTTTTGGGGAACTGTGAAATGCTAGATCTGTTCTTTCTGTGGGTCACTCCACAGACACTGCTGAAATATGTGATCTTACAATCAATGTTCCCTCTAAGCTGTGGAGTTTTGTGAGCAAAAATTCTACTTTGTGAGCGGCTGGCATTAAAGCTGTGAGCGAGCGATTTGGCTACTGCATAAATTAGCTTGCTCTGGAGTCATCCTCCCTGAGCTAAGACAAAAATCTGTGAGCTGGAGGCTAAAATTCTGTGAGCTAGCTCACACTAACTCAGCTTAGAGGGAACACCACTTACAATGTATTTTGATGGAGCCCTTTAACAATCATGAGGTTCTAAGTATTTAATGCAGCGTCTGCTCTATGATACATAATTTGATGGCAAATTTGGGGTAACCCAATTAAAAAATTGTGAGAATCCGTGAGAATCTGTGCTTCAGAGCCATGTTTTTGTGCTGTGGTGGTGGCACGAGGCAGTGATTTTCCTGGTGTACTCTCTGGCTATGGACATGATGTGTGATTTTATGCTGAGTCTGGGGTGGCTCAGCACAAAAACCCTGAGGATCCAAGGGGGGGGATCCATGCTTTGGAGTGCTGTTTCTGCACCATCCTGCCGCCATGAAGCAGTGGGTGCGTGGTCTTTTTGTGCTGTGATCTGTGACCGTGGACGTGACATGCAATTTGATGGTATTTCTAGGGCCTCTTCTTTCAACCCAGAAATCTGCAGTGTTGCTATCATTTTGCCTGCGGGCCTGAATCATCCTTTTGACCATCTTACATTTGTATCACACCTTTCCTCCACGGAGCTTAAGGCAGCACTAGACGCCACTCTCTTATTCCCGCAACTTCCCTGAAAGGTATTTATTTATTCTCTGAAATGTATTTACCTCTTTAAAATGTTTCTTTAGCTTCCTTTCTAGAGCTTGCCTGACTCAAGGCAACTTACAGTGTTAAATAAAACAAGAAGGTTGAGGGGAAGCGAAGAACAAGCTGCCCTTTGACACCTTCCCCCCCAATCCCTGGTCCCTGTTGGATCCCCAAGCATCGAGAATAAATCCACGTTTCAAAGAAAGTAAAGTTTATTTCAAAGCATTGGAAAGATACTCAAACACGTTCTTTGTTAGAACTGAACACAAGCAGTTAGGGCAGACATGATAAAGGGATTCAAGTTAGAAACACAACCAATGGATAACGTTCCCGCTGGCGGGCAGGAGAAAACGGTTGCCTGCTCAAGTCTTGGGAACCAGGCGAACGGTAGACAAAACACAGGTGCAGTTCACAGGCTTGGTGCAGTTCACAGGCTTGATAAGTAAGAAGCTAACAGCGAAGCATACTCTCCCCCTCACATCCTCCAGTTGTTATACTTTGGCATTACAGCATAGAAAACACAGGGGTCAGCTGGCAGGGACAGGGATCACATATGTACAATCAGAAGTTACACAGAACACCATGGCAGCTTGCTGACAGTCCCAAAAGGACACCCTGTGGGCCACTCATCATTAACTAGGGAGGCCTGGAAGCCAAAAAGAGGAGCGGAACAGCACTTTGCAGCTTAATTTTGCTACTTGGACTGAGACAGTGCTGTGGCTGGCTGAAGGTGAAGCCCCTTGGAGGGTGAAGCCCCCCTCTCTGCTGCTGGATTCAGATCTGCTGCAAGAAAGCCATTTGCTACCGCTGTGCCCTGTCTGCACAAATGCAAATGCAACAAATCTTGCAGGAGAAAGAAGTGATGAGTCCAGCAGCGCCTTCGAGCTTTAAGACCATTTTTTAAAAATTCCAGGTATTTGGGGGGCGGGGGCGGGAAGTCCTGTGTTTAAGACAAAAAAACCGCACCCATTTTATTCCAGATATATGTGTGTGAGAGAGAGAGAGACCATCCCATGGTACCTAACAGCCCAACTTGCATTCCTTATTGTGAAAGGGAGCAAGGGTACAGCAGCACCTTAATGACTAACAAAATTTGTGGCAGGGCAGGAGCTTTCATCAATTTGTCTCACTTCTTCAGATACAGCTGGAATGTGAGTCCATCGGTCCTTATATCTTGGAGAGTGAAGTGATTTCAGGTGCCAAAAGACAATAGCAGGCATTGGTAATGAGAGAAGAAACCTAGATCTCAAGGAGTTTGCATTGTCTTGAGCTTCATGACCAGTTGCGATTCAGCAGTCTCTCTTTCTAATCTCCCCTTGAAATTCCTTTGCAAGAGAATTGCTACTCTTAGGTCAGCAACTGAATGCCCTGGAAGGCTAAAATGTTCCCCCACTGGTTTTTGAAAGTTGGTAGAAAAAGTAAGACCAATAGCACCTTTAAAGACTAACAAAATTGTGGCAGGGTATGTGCTTTTGTGAGTCACTGCTCACTTATTTCCATTTATTCTTTGCATTCTCCTGGGCTGAATCCTCCTGTACCATATTGAGACCTACGTTTCCTCTCTCATTACCAATGCTGATATCTCCACCCCTCTGCATATCACACCTAATCCAATCATCCCTGCTATTGCCATTTGAAATCATCTTTATAAAGTTGGTATCTCAGGTACCTCGTGTTACATTCTATGGCACACATGGCCTGGCCCGACAAAGTGACATTTATGTCAGATCCAGCCCTCATAACAAATGAGTTCGACACCTCTGTGTTAGACTAACTTCTTTTAACCCTTTCAATCCAACTGCTATGGTAGAAACACTTGCAATGAGACAAATTAAAAAGCTGCTTTTATTAAGACAGTGACTCCAAACAATTGTCTTTTATACAAAAAAAATTGCCAACAATCCTGCCCAGGACCTCCGGGGGGGGGGGTCAATTTCCCCTTATTCCTCCTTCCTGCAGCAGCCCCCAACTTTCCCCAAATGCTGCTTCTGGGGGGGAGGGGACCCCCCCTGGATAGCAGAGTCTCCAGCAGGAGGGGCGAAGAGTGAAAACTGCCCCCCCCACACACCCGGTGCCCACAGAGATCCCAGCTAGGATCCCAGCCGTGCTGTGCTGGGCTGGATGTTTTGCTCAGGAATTGTTACTTCTTCTTTCCATTGTTTGTCTGTGAAGCAAAAGAACTCCCCCAACCAGTAAGGAAGATTTCAGATCTCTACTGGCTGCCTTTGGGAAGGCATGATCCTGAAAAGGTCCACACGAACGTAGCCTTGGGGTTTGGCGATATCAAAAACTCACGGCCACAGATATATTTTACTAATGAGAAACTCAGCACCTCAGTAAATCAGGCTTCTGGTCCCTACTAATGTTGCCTTCTTACAAAATGCGATAAAAATGCCAAATGTTAAAAGAACTCTAATACACATTTATTCTATTTACCAAAACATAGTTGCACACAAACAGAATGGGGAGTGGGGGGCTTCTTGCAGGCCAGTCAGTCTCTGCCGTCTTTCCTTGCTGGCTGGCTGAGCCGTCCTCTCAGTCACTCTTATCTTCACCCTGGTAATGTCTGTATTCTGGCTTGAGCTCCCAGGTGTTCTTGTGCGTCCCCTTAACATTGTAGATGCCGATTTCTCTTAAAATTTCTTTCAAGTAAATCTGGAAAAGAAAAAAAAAACTAGCTTAATATGAAGAAGACAAACACGTATCATTAACAGTAGAAAACAGCAAGAGTCCCAGAGCACCTCAAGGATAGTTGCTTTCGTGAAGGTATCTGAAGATGTGAGCAGTGGCTCACGAAAACTCCTCCCCTGTCACAAATTTTGTTCGTCTTTAAGGTGCTCCGGGCCTCTTTTCTGCAGCTACAGACAGACTCACATGGCTCGATACTGGCATTTCCTTCTGTTACAACAGCAGTGAAGGATTTATACTTCACATGCATTTATACTTCACAAGGCATGAAATCCCTTGAACAGGGGTCACTGGGTGGTGGTGGAGGGGGGAGATGTTTGTGAATTTTCTGCCTTGTGCAGGGGGCTGGACTAGATGACCCTGGAGGTCCCTTCCAACTCTATGGTTCCTGCCTGGCTTCCAAAAGCTTCTGCCCTTCCCCCTCCCCGCAACACAGCCACTGCCCCTGAAAAACTGGGCGCAGATTTTGTGCCAGTTCTGGCGAAATGCTTTACTCTGCAGGACTAGTGCCAAGTTCAGAACCCAGAAGTCTGACAGATGGGCCTGCTCTCTGTGCAGGCTCAGAGTTTATAAAATACCTTTCTGCTGGCTGACCAAGGGAAAAAGAAGGAATGGTGCTGTAGAAATGCAGCTGTTCCTCGCCAGGAGAAGGGCGATAGGCAGCCAGTGTCCCATCTGAAGTCATCGTCACTCCCAAGCAACAGAGCTTCCGGAAGGCCAGGGATCACAATGGAGGGAAATGTGGCTTTCCTCCCCTGCTCCCAAACACCCACATCAGCTGCAGGTTCAAGTGTGTTCCAAAAGAAAATAAACAAAAGGAATATTTGCCCTTTTAAAATTGTACTCAAACTCTTGCCACGCACTGCCCCCTTGAGGTGCTTGCTCTAGGCAAGAGGAGTACACAGCTACTAACAAATGGAGCACAGCAGACGGGTGACTGAAACCCTGTGACATTTTTACACTTCAATCCAGAATGGAGAGAGCAGCCATGCGATTCTAAGCAGAGGGTTTTGGGTTTTTTTAAATTTAAATTACATCAGTTAACAATGTTAAAAATACAACCCGTGATCATAAAAACAGCATTAAACAACTCCACTGTGCTGCTGAAAAATATCCATAAAACAGTCCTCAGGCTAGAAGCAAGAACTAAAGAGAGCTAAAAAGATAAAACGTTTTGGTTAAAAACCTAGTTAAAAAGAAAGGTTTTGGACTGGCCCCTAAAAAGAGTAATGTTAACTTCTAAAGCATTTTAAAATGATATAAACGATCTGTTACAGAACTGAAAATCACGACCAATCATAGAAATTCTATAACTGGTTTCCATATTTTGTCATATTCAAATAAAAGTACCACCATACATAAATCCCCCCAAAATGGATTATGCATAATCCTACCATCAAAAATTGTTCCCAGATTCTCTGGTACCATTTTTTGAGCAAGGGTCCTGTGAGGGATTTCCAATTCCTGGCAATGACCAGGTGAGCAGAGGCAACCAATGTAGAGACAAGAAATGTGGTATTTTTAATAAAGCAAAAAGTCGCCCCAAAAATCCAATAACAAAAATTCCAGAGAATAAGGCAATGAAAGACCCGCCATGTTGGATGTTTCTTCATGAACCACCTTCCAAAAGTCCTGGGCCAGATGGCATTCCCACCACATATGTAAACCCTGCTTACAGGATCTCCAACACAGTGGGCTTAAAGACTTGTTCCTCAGGTTTATTTTGTGTGGTGTTAAATACTAGATAGATAACAACTTGTAAAATTTGAGTTTAATATTCCAACAGCAGAATTTGTAGGAGGGGTCAATCTTAGATAAATCCATAGTGGAAGAAAGATTTGGAATTAAGATCTCTTGGTTTAGATAATTTCAGTTGAAAAATTCTGATCACTAATCTGATCGTGTCGCTCCAACCACAAACCCCACTTGAGGACTTAGTTTGGAATGGGAATGATGGTAAACAAGGTATGATTTCTGCCTTTTATAAATTATTACTAACAGCAACATATAAAGACCCTTTAGGTAAAGGTAAAGGTTCCCTTGCTCGAAAGCCAATCGAGTCTGACTCTAGGGTTGCGGTGCTCATCTCCGTTTCAAAGCCGAAGAGCCAGCGCTGTCCAAAGACGTTTCCGTGGTCATGTGGCCGGCATGACTAAACACCAAGGCGCACGGAACGCTGTTACCTTCCCACCGAAGCGGGACCTATTTATCTACTTGCAATTTCTTGCTTTTGAACTGCTAGGTTGGCAGGAGCTGGAACTAGAGACGGGAGCTCACTCCGTCATGCGGCACACTCGGGTCTCAAACTGCTGAACTACCGACCTTCCACAGCCTGCAGTTCAGCGTCTTAACCACTTGAGCCACCGTAGCCCCTAAAGACCCTTTACCATACAAAAAAAATGGCCTGATTCTCTGAAACTTGCCTCTCGGAATCTAATTGGAAACAATTCTAAGCAGAGCTGAAGCCAGTGGAGTTAGGACTTGACTCTGCTTAGGAAGGCCCTGTAGTGGCCCCGTGGCATCCCTGCACAATTTTTGCTCCCAGTGAGGAGGGGAAGGTGAGCATTGTGGGCTGTGGGACCAACGCCCAGCTGGCAGGAAGCACCATGAAATCACTCTTGAGCTAACTCCTCACTCACATCCTCTTTAGATGACCCAAAGTTTTACTCTTGGACCTTGGCAAATATATTTTCACAGCAGCAAACACTTCCCTGGATCACTTAGATGGCTGTGTCTGTTTCTAACCGTGTGCCATTTCAGTGCTTCAGAATTTCTTCATATAGCACGGACTCCACCAGGTGGCAGCAAGACATCATCTAAGCCTCCAGGTAAAGCAACTCCAGACTCTGCTTTTGCAGGTATGACTTTTAGCAAGGAAGAAAGAACCTCTGGTCAGAATGCCATAGAAAAGGGGAAATGTTCCCTGCATCCAGATTATCCCTTCTGAACCTGAAACACGTTCACCCGGTAAGAACACGCACAACTCTAGGGTAGGGTCAGAACCAAACAGAATCTTTGAAGTGCTAATATCAAAGAGTCTACTGTTTGGAGCATAGCTGATATATCTCACCACAAGTTTTTTTCTTAGGGGTTTTTTTTTTTTTTAAAGGCTGGAGCAGAATTTTGAATGCTTGGGGACATTTGTAAAAAAATATTTCATTTAAGAATGATTCAGGTGGGTAGCTGTGCTGGTTTGAAGCGGAAGATCAAAGTTTGAGTCCACCCTCTACCATTACATAGAATGGATGGTTGGTAACATCTGTTTCAATCCATCTGAAGAAGTGTGCATGTGAAAGCGTATGCCCAGAATAAAACTTTGTTTAAGGAGGTGTGTAATGGAGGTAGAAGCCCCTTTTCCATTTCCATTCCCCTTTTCCATTTTAGAAGCAAAGAGCTCCGTTCTCTTTCTTCCTGCTCTGCTTATCAGCCCATAAGAGGATCTGTCCTTTTATCCCACGACTACCAAACCCTTTGGGGTCTTTCAGAGGGGTTTTCTCTAAAGCAATCTGAAGGACACCGCTCATTTTAGGGTCAAGCCTGTTGCTGCTGCCTGCTGACACTCTCAAAGAGTTCTCAGAGTCTGGTGAGGCAGACCTCCTTCAGCAAGGCCAGGCAACGTTAGTCTCAGTAATGCTCTTCATCAGAACGGGCCTCCTCTTCTTTTGGTACTGGGCAATGTGGGCAGAAACAGAGAGGGACGGCTGCGGGTGGGGGAGGCAAAGGGAAGGGCTGGAGAGAGCAAAGCCGGAGTCCAGTCAGGCACCTTTAAGACCCATCAAGTCTAACTCTGGGCAGACGCTTTTGTGTGCAGGCACACGGATGCTGCCACTGGACTCAAGCTTTGTTCTACTGCTTCAAACCAACATGGTGACCCACCCTGAAGGTTTGGATAGGTTATGGCTCCAACCCAGCCTTGTCCCTGGAGCTCCTGGCGCTGCAGCCTATCCTGTCATCTCCTGCGGTAGTTACCCTTGACTTTATTATCACACGGCCTGTAGCAATTGCTCTTGGCAGTAGACCTGAGCCACCCACAAAAGGAACAAAGGAAAGATCTTTTGGAAGATGAGCCAACAACTACCTACAACGAAACAGTTCCCAAACTGGCTCTAGAGACATTTCACAGCTACCTGTCCTCCAACAGATGCTGCTAGCGTTGATCAAGGATTCTTTGCACATTACTCGGGCTGGCCTGAAGTGCAGAGGTAAGCCAGCACTGAATGTGAAGCCAAAGAAAAAGGCAAGACATCCACCCCAACCCCCGTGGGTCCAGATTTCAGGCCACCTCTGCTTGACTGTTCTGTGTCCCAGAGGTGCAATAATCTTGCGTACTCTCATTCAAGAATAAGCTCCCATTCAGGCTGACAGAACCAAAACACATTCACGCACTCCAAAACTGCAGCCTCCGAGGGCTCATCCGCAGAGGTGGTCCTTGATATTCTGCTTGGTGACTCTTCAGCAGCCGCCGCCGCCGAGCAGCTGAGGAGTCGGGAACTAACAGGGCTCATATCAAGTGATCCGTGAGGACTATTCACAAAGCCTCAGCAAAGGTAACCAACTCTCTCCCCCCGCACGGCACCACTCGCCAGCCTCCCTCCCGGCCGGCCATCTCTGGAGCCTTCTGCTCCGCTCCCCCTTCCTCTTTCAGGGCTCCATCATGCCTTCCGCCTCGCCTGGCTTCTGGAACCTCCAGACCCACACTGCTCTTGCCCTCCTCCTGCCTCCCTTCTCCTGGGCCGCCTTGCCTTGCTCTCCCTCTCGCCTCCCCCGCTTGACTGCTCACGTCCCCCAGCGGAACAGAGCTATTCAAACGAAAGTGTTTCAGAACAAAATGGGAGATTTGGATATTGGGGTGGGGCATTGAAGATTTGATAGTGGGTGCCACCCACAGTGCCCCCCACTGGCTACAGGCCTGCCAGAGAAGGGGGGGGGGAATCAGCCCCTACTTTCAGCATCAGGGAACAAGCATG